CTTTTAAATTCGCAGTAAAAATATTTTTGGTCACTCGTTTATTAGTAGAAATGATCTACATACACTCTACCCTTAAAAAAACTTAATTACAAAATTATATGTTAGCTGTAAGAATATAGGCTACAAAAATATTAATAAAAAAGTCATGAGCAAACAATTAAAAGCTGTGGAATAAATCATATAATTAAGCCTTATACCTCTTCGCTCTCCCACTTAATAATAATTAATCCAGACTCTATTGGAAAATATAAGCGCTGCCAAGGGAAGATGAGACACCAAACTTCAACTTGGTTAAGTGCTGCAGAGTAAAATCTATACTAATTGTCTAAAGGATACTACAGGGTAGAGCAATACTACACCCAATGTCTGTGTGTTAACAAATTCTGAAACCTGATTGGCTAGATCAGGTGTAACGTAAACGATTTAACATTTATTGGCTAGTGTTACTATTGTTATGGGAAAGCAGTAATAAGATACAAATCAATTTAGCTCTAATAGTAAACTTAAGAACTTATATATTTTGTTCGTTAAGACTCAGGACACGTGAATTGGGGTTCTCGAGTTAGGTATATCGGGATCAGGTTCTTACTAAATTGGTCTCGATTCGGATGACACACGTAATTTAAGGGTATACTAAAAAGGGTAAAATAAGGCTGACGTAATAGATTTAGGATAATTATGAAACAATGAGACGGTTCTATTCTAAGAAATTGGGCGGATAACCTTATAACAATACTGTTGTTCGGGTCTAACAATGGGAATTGTCTAAGATACGCGCTTAGAAATGAGGTAGTATTTAGAACTAATTTTAGGGTGTAAGCTTAACAATACGAAGATAAAAAAATAAATGAATAAATAAAGGTTCGTTCAATAAACAGTTTTTCCAATAAGCTTGAGAAGTCGATTCTTATTTTTACTTCATTAAAGACATCAAAGTCTGAGAAAACTTTATTAACGACAAAACTCAGACTTTAAATACATTTTAGATAGCTATAACTACTGCGTAACATTCAATATTGCTTCTTACTTTCTACCTTGATTCTTTACTAATTAAACGGGCTATGTAGACTTCCCAATTATAAAACCCTTACAATTTCCGTTACAAAGTAGTTTACTATCTTGTTTACAATTCTGCATACAATTCTGCATACAATCTTGCATACAATTTCGTTTACAATCATTAATTCCCTGAACTTCCGACGCTTATGACGTATTTTTAAAGAAACAAATAAATAAATAAATAAATAAAACAAATAAACAAATATGAATTTCGAAGCCTCAACATCTATGTCACGAAATTCGTGACACTAGATCAGGCGTAATATAAGACACGTTTATTATTATAGTCAAATTTATCACCCGATACTTATTGGTTAGATCAGCTGTAACTAGGGTTCTGCAAACCCGGCATATGCCGGTGCAAAAATGGGTATATAAGGCACGGGCATAACTTCACTTAAATTTAA